TACACACCATTCCAGAGACTACAATCTTGGTTTGAGGAGAGAAGAAAGAAACCACACATGTGTGCAGGCCACAGGGGAGATGGGTGTAAGAATTCTGAGCTTTTTCTTGTAGGGCTGCTACTGAAAACAGTTCCTCAAAGATGTGCACATCACTGTGAAATGCATTTCTAGTTTTAGGAGGAAGTGAAAGTCTAAAGCATGACATTCTCTTCTCTTTTTTTGTAAGCACTTGCACAAAGCTTTTCCTAACATGCCTAGAGATTACTTGATAATCCTTTTGCCTGCCAAACTCCTGTTGATAAATCGGTGCTTAAACAGCAGAAGCTGCGTATCTGCAGAGTTTAGGTGGATTTTAATTTTAATTCTTTTATGTGGAAATTGAGGTTTTGACCTGTTACATACAGTGTAGCTCAATCTGCACCACATTGCCGGTCCCGGCAATGAGAGATTTTGGACAGCACAGCTTTTAGATATCTACTGGTGGGGAAAGCTCACAGTGGTCCCTGCCCTCAGTGTAGTTCCTTTACTCATCTTAGCTGCTTCAGGAGAGGAGCTGCTGAGGACTGGGGTGGGTGAAGACTCAGCTACCTACCAGTGCAGCATCTAAACTGATGCTCCCTATTAGGTCAACCTGAGACAAAAATCACAGTAATGATTTCCTCCCCCACCCCAAGACGATCTGAGTGCAAACATCTCACATGTAGAGTTTTTTTAGAGTTTCCTCTGCACCTGTTGTTTACCTATTACTAGGCCAATCGGAACAGAAAATGGGAGGTTTTCTCAATAATTTCTAATAATCTGTGATGTGCAATAATATAATGGATTAGGTGAATTCACATTGCTGGAAAACCAGGAGATATGGGTCTTACATTTGGAACGTGTCAAGTTTATAGTAAGTGTGAAAATTCAGTTGGCTTTAAGTAAAGTTCTAAATGCAAGTCATCTATAGGATTGATAACAAAGAAAAGAAACTGGTCCTGAGTGTAACACAGAAGTGATGGAAATAAATATTGTCACTCTGAACTTTCTGGGGAGTGTGTGTGTGTGTGTGTGTGTGTGTGTGTGTGTGTGTGTCTGTGTGTGGAATATGGTTTGCATTTTTGTACACTCTTCCAGAAAGTAACAATGTTCTGAGAGCTTTTGTGTGTGAATAGAGTTGCTACACCTACTAGTATCATTGCCTAGGACTTTGCTAACCAAGTTCTGCCTCTGCAGTATAAATACAAGGAAGCTTATGAGAAGGCCAAGGGCAAGCATGTGGGTTTTAGAAGCCTCCAGGATGACCCCAAGCTGGTCCATTATATGAACGTAGCCAAGCTGCAATCCGATCGTGAATACAGGAAGAACTATGAGAACACCAAAACCAGCTACCATACTCCTGGGGACATGGTTAGCATCACAGCCGCAAAGATGGCCCAGGATGTTGTTACCAACGTCAATTATAAACAACCGATACATCATTACACATACCTACCTGACGCCATGAGTGTCCAGCACACCAGGAACGCAAATCAAATTCAGAGTGAGGTAAGTATGTAGGACAGAGCAGACTCAGAGAAGTTGGTACTTAAGGGATAATCTTTTCTTCCTACTTTAGTAGACTTCACAATACAATAAGAAATTTGGGGGGGGAAAGTACTTTAAAATAAATAGTCATTATTGAAAGATTAACAAAGGCATGGTGGACAAGCTGTGTTTTTGCTGGCTTTCTGCACTCCTACTGTCACCATTGACATTGCCTTTATTAACTTCTGGGTCACAGAGAAAGCCATATTCCACTAAGTCGATAAGCCACCTTAATCCTCAGCAAGAGGAAATGGTTGCTCCTGGGGTGCTTTCTTCAATGGTGATACATATAAGGCAAAATAGGAGCATTCTTTATTCTTTCTGAATTCAGCAAAGTTATTTTTTGGCTTAAAAAAAAAACACTCAAGGTCACACTCTCATGCATGTAAATCTGTGTGATGAGTCATCTAAAATGAGCCAGGAAGGCTTTGTGACTGCAGCATGATTCACGGGGAGCTGCAGAGGGAGGTGTTTAATATTCAGGGCTTTTCCTTCCGCAGGATCCAGATGTCTATAAGAATCGTCCTCTATGAAGGGAAGAAATGGTGTTCTTTTATTGTGGCTCAATGAAAATGTCTCTCCCCAGCTGAGATCAGGAAGAGCCTAGGTGGACAGTGTGGGTGAAATTCAAAGTTGGGGAGTTTTCAGTGAAATCAAAAGGAAAGCCCAATTTATTATCAAAAGAGACAATATTTTTTCAGCAGTAGCCGTGGAAATATGTGGCCCAGATTCTCTCTGTGTTGTATAATGCCCCAAACAACAGCACTGCTGTTTCTCATTACCAAATTCTGGGTGAGAAGCTCCGTGACAGACATAACCATAGCTTCCACTACAGACGGGGGCGAGTTGAAAAGGTTGCCATTCATTTCCCCTGCAGAGGATTGCAGATGGCAGAACCGGTGCTTGGCTGTTCCTAGGACATCTCCTCATATGAGCTTGCTCTTTTACAGAATGTGTATAAGGACGACTATAACACCTTCTTCAAGGGCATTGGCTGGATCCCTATTGGTTCTCTGGAGGTTGAGAAGGCCAAGAAAGCAGGCGATGCATTAAATGAGAGGAAGTATCGACAGCACCCAGATACCATCAAATTCACAAGCGTGCCTGATTCCATGGGCATGGTTCTGGCTCAGCAGAACACAAAGCAGCTGAGTGACGTAAGTGGCTTCCCTTCAGAAGGGTGTGTTGATGAATAACCCCGTGATAAGCCACTTCACATCCTTCTTAATTCGATACGTGAGACTGCATCTATGTTAGCAAATGAACTGCTTTCAGAGGTTGTACTTTTGAAGCACCTTGGAACTTGAACATCCATAGAACTGGGAGGGGAGAAGGAGAACTTCCAAATCTGCTTTATTTTCCCAAAGTGGAGAGTCTGTGCTATTCATGAGACATATGGAATGAAATTAGTATTATTATCTATCACTCGGTCTGAATTGCAGACCAAGCTATTTTATTGCTCTGAGTTGCAACAGTTCTACTTAGCTTCCCAGGGAAAGGGCATAATAACGTCCTCATCCCCGGGCACAATAGCTGGATGTTGTGAGAGGCAATCTAGAGAGAGGCCTCTGGGAAGGAGATAAGCAGTTTACTTCCAGAATCATCGGGAGTCACCTCTCTGAGCCCAGGTCTCGCTGGACCCTTAGTCTTAGTCAGAGGCTAATTGCAATACTCAGTGCTTCCCCTCATTTGGTAATGTCAGAGTTCTCTTAAATGACCTCCACCCGAAAGAGGGAGGTAAGTAAAAAGCAAAGAAGGGAAGACTGTGTTTTTAGCCCCTGGCTTCGCCACTGATGCCTCTCTGTGTGAACCCTACACCCAACACCTCTGCTGAGTCAGTCTCCTAGATCTCTCAGCCGTCCTGTCCAACACCTCTCTGTCTTTCAGCCACCACCAACCTAGTTCTGGCTCCATATCTCTCCTGTGGACAACTATAGTCATCTGGTATCTGGAGTCCATGCCCAAGGCACACACTACAACCAGAGAGACCATCTTAGCTCAAATCACATCCCTCTCATAGTTAAAACCCTTTTAGAAACTTCTTAAACTGAAAATAAAATCTGTTAAATCTGGGAGGCCCTACTCCCTATCTTGTCTGAGCTCTGGCCCTCCTCAGCCACTCCAGCCCCTGTAACCCAGGGCTGCCTTCGGTGCCTCTCAGGCCACGCCCTTTCCAGACTCAGGGCCCTGAATGCTCTTCTTCTGCTTGGACCCCTCCCTTATCTTCAATTACCTCCTTAGAGAGCCTTTGCTGACCACCCTTTTCTTTCCTAAAGTTATTTTATTTACAACACATCATAAATTCTAACTCTACCTTGTAATTCATGTGTTTATTCTCTGTCTCTTCTACTGGTCTGTAAGCTCCAAAAGTACAGGTCTGCCCTTTTCAATCCTTTAAACACAGAACCTACCACCTTACTTGGCCCACAGCGCTGTCCAATAATTATTGGTGAAATGAGCCAATGACTACACTACTAATAACCCCTCTGTATGATAGTTTAGGTATTTGCCTTATATAGGCACACCTCGTTTTATTGTGCTTTTTTATGCTTCGAAGATACTGCGTTTTCTACAAATGGAAGGTAATACCCTCCACCAGCAAAAAGATTAGGACTCACTGAAGACTCAGATGATGGTTAGCATTTTTTAAAGCAATAAAGCCTTTTTAAATTAAGGTATAAACATTGTTTTTTAGACATAGTGCTATTACACACTTAATAAATTATAGTATAGGGTAAATATAACTGTTATGTGCACTGGGAAACCAGAAAATTCATGTGACTCACTTTACTGTGATACTCACTTGATTGCAGTGGTCTGGAACTTAACCCACAATATCTCTGGGGTACACCTATGTATGGAAAAACACAAATGACAGTCTTGCTTTTTAAGGGAGTATGTGCTTAAGGAAACCTACATTTTGTCGGCTAATGACGTTTGCATGCTGCCTCCTTTGTTTTCAGTTGAACTACAAGGTGGAGGGGGAGAAACTGAAGCACAAGTACACGATAGACCCCGAATTGCCTCAGTTTATTCAAGCCAAGGTCAACGCCCTCAACATGAGCGATGTGAGTACATTCCCTGGTGATAGTCTAACATTGCTAATGGGGGCCTTTCCTTTCCAGTTCTGGGTAACGGTAGAACTTAGAATTTTAAGGGGAATAAACCGAGTTGGGCCCCATTGAATTTCTGTTAGAGGAGGTCATAGAGAAGCTGTGACTGCCAGTTGGCCCTTAGCTGGACCTCGGGCAATTGCAGGCTGTTCACCCCTCCCCTGTCCTAGGAATGTACGTTCTGCCCGTTTCCACAATGGGAGCCATTTTCAAGGGCACGGCCTTATGAGAGCAATGTGTTGTTGAGACCACCTGGATGGTATGAGTGCCTAAACCCTGTTAGGGTCTCTATATAAACTTTTAAGATTCTGATGGGTGGGTGCGGAGGTCTACTATGAGGCCACCGAAGACAGACCTCATACATAAGCTCCCTTGCTTATGTACCTACCAATCTGGAGTGACCTGCCTCTTTCTTCAGTCCCTCCTTGCCCTCTGTGTACAGAGGCCAATCAACAGTCCTCAGATCAGACTCTTATTCTATATAATAAAAGGCTAATGTGCAAATTGACTGAATGGCAGAACGACCAGTTGCTATGATGTGCCCTGACCACCAGGAGGCAAATGCTCAATGCAGGAGCTGCCCCCTGGTGGTGAGTGCACTCCCACAGGGGGAGTGCTGCTTAGCCAGAAGTCCTGAGCCAGGCTCACAGCTGGTGAGCGCAGTGGCAGTGAGGGGAGCCTCTCCCACCTTCATGGCAGTGCTAAGGATGTCCAACTGATGTCAATCAGACATCACCTGAGGGCTCCCAGACTGCAAGAGGGTGCAGGTTGGGCTAAGGGACCCCCCCACACACAAGTGTATGAATTTCATGCACCAGGCCTCTAGTCATAGGATATGAGGTTACCATAACATTTCACTTAATGCAGGCTTTTCCAAACTATGGGCTATGACTCATTAGTGAGTTATAAAATCAATCTAGTAGGTTGTGTTCCATTAAAAAAAAAAAAAGAACAAAATGGGATAGCCAAGATAGCAAAATACAGTAGTGCATAGTCTGTAGTAAGGTTAATTTTGCTTTATTTATCTTTTGTTTCAGTTATTTGTTAAAACTTCTTTAAAAAGTTTACTGTCATTTTCTTTAGAAACTCTTTTTTATATGTAACGAACATCTCTCTCAGGTAGTCTAGATACCTAATTGGTAGTGATGTTTAAATTTACTCTTATGAATTGTTTCCTTTTGCTTGGGTTGTTTTTTTTAAGTTGGTAAATTCTAATTTAAAAACATAATCAAACCTTAAGAAAAGTGTTAATTTCTTAAAAGATACCTTAGTCACTCTTCCTAATTTTTTAGGCTCTTTGGATCTCCAAATAAACATTTTTTTGGTGCTCATTTCTATGCTTTTGGTTTACTTAGAATTTTTCTCTGGTGTTATAAGTAATATTTAAACATGAAGGTCAATTAAAACTGGATGGTAATACATCTGAAATTTTAATATTAAATGCCTTTCTGTAAATTAAAATGTTTTATTATTAAAAGTACAAGAAAATAAAACTATTACATGCTTATAGAAAAGTTGGAAATATAAAAAATTATGAAAAAATTAAAATCTGTCATTCCACATTTAAAGCATTACATTTCAGTTGCTTTGTTATGCCAACATATACATTTTTAAAGCAGTTGAGATCATACTGTGGAGTTACTGATGTTTTTAAAAAAGGCTCTGATAGATACATAAAAGATGAACTAATAGCCCTAACTCCGCAAATTCTCTCAATAGAAAGGTGTAAAGTATGACATGTTTTATAAGAAAGATTTTGGCATCTTGTTTCATTCTTTTAATTTTGTTAAATAATAAAATAATATTTCTTTTTTTTTCAAGGCTTATTATAAAGCAGACTGGAAGAAAACTCTCGCTAAGGGTTATGATTTGAGAACAGATGCTATTCCAATTGTTGCTGCAAAAAGTTCAAGAAATATTGCTAGTGATGTAAGTCTAATTTGAAAGCAGTAAACTTTATATTTTCAAACTCTTCACATGGAGGCTATATGAACTATATTAGAAACAAAATTAAAAAGTTATGATATTAAAATACTTTTCTAGTATCCTAAGTAACAATGATTTTTTACACTGCTTCACTTTAAAATATTTAAAAACTCAATACAGTTGTTACAAATAAGAAAATTATTTTTTAAAACTGTAAAATATTTGGAACTCTCATTGTTATGAACATGAAAACTGATTTTTATTTTGTCAAGAAAAAAAGCTTTCGTATACTAAAATGTCACTAAATTGGAAATGTCTCCAACTGTTTTAAAAGAATACAATTTTTATTTTATTTTTTAAATCCTTATTTGAGGATTTTTTTTCTATTGATTTTTAGAGAGAGTGGAAGGGAGAGAGAGAGAGAGAGAGAGAGAGAGAGAGAGAATTAATTGGCTGCCTCCCGCACCTACCCTGAATGACCAGGGATGGGGATCAAACCTGCAACTGAGGTGTGTTCCCTTGACTGGGAATTGAACCTGCAACCATTTGGTGTGAGGGCTGATACTCTAACCCAGCCGTGGGCAAACTACGGCCCGCGGGCCGGATCCGGCCCGTTTGAAATGAATAAAACTAAAAAAAAAAAAAGACCGTACCCTTTTATGTAATGATGTTTACTTTGAATTTATATTAGTTCACACAAACACTCCATCCATGCTTTTGTTCCGGCCCTCCGGTCCAGTTTAAGAACCCATTGTGGCCCTCGAGTCAAAAAGTTGGCCCACCCCTGCTCTAACCACTGAGAAAACAGGCCAGGGCAAGAATACAATTTTTAAATACTATAATTTCCACACAAAAATTGATGAAATATGAAAATCCAGGCAGAATTATAGATTCAAATGAGATGATTTTAGTTATATACTGAATTCAATTTAACAAATGAATTTATAATTTTTATATGAATTAATATAATATGTTGATAGAGTTAAAAACTCTATCATTTGTAGTCCAATAAACTAATTCATATAAGGGCACTGCAAAAATTTACTCAGGATTATGCAAAGACTTTATAAGATAATGCAAAGTAACACTGGAAACATATAATAAAAAAAATACACCACCCAGTGTGGCTCAGTGGTTGAGTGTCAACCCATACACCAAGAGGTCACCAGTGCAATTCCCAGTCAGGACACATGCCTAGGTTTCAGGATCAATCTCCAGTAGGGCATGGAGGAAGCAGGAGATCATGTCTCTCTCATCAATATTTCTCTCTCCCCCTCTCCCTTCCTCTCTCTACCAAATCCTTAATAAGTAAAAATTTCAGGAACCTTTGAACATATTCAAAGAATCTATTTATGAATAATCTGGATATAAACTACAAATTATTCCATTCTTGATTATCTTCAGAGCATGTTTAAAGACCATCCATTAAAAATTCTTTGCTAGTTGTTTATTTAACAATGTTAAAACACTAGATTCAGAATGGATTTATCTATTGCTTAATTTGGTAGGTAAATTCAGTTTAATACTTTAGTATTTCCTACTCTACCCTATCAAATTTCTGTCTGCCCTTCTTTTTCATATAGTTCAAATATAAAGAGGCCCACGAGAAAGCCAAAGGCAAGCAAATTGGATTTCGTAGTCTTCAGGATGATCCTAAACTGGTTCACTACATGAATGTAGCCAAAATGCAGTCAGAACGTGAGTACAAAAAGGGCTATGAAGCCAGCAAGACTAGGTACCACACACCCTTGGATATGTTCAGTGTGACGGCGGCCAAGAAATCTCAGGAGGTTGCTACCAACACCAACTACAGACAACCCTTCCACAACTACACTCTGCTGCCCGATGCCATGAATGTGGAGCATTCCAAGAACGCGATGCAGATTCAAAGCGATGTATGTAACAATCAACAGATTGTTGACATAGAATTATTCATTTCTAGTTGGCAGGAGGGAAGAACAAGAAATAGGCAATTCCACTCACTCCACCCTAAACCTGGCTAGACTCACTATAATTAGGGGTCCTCTCCAGAATTTGGAGTTTTAGGCTTTTACTCATTTGAACTATAGGTAGCTTCCTTTGGGGGTTACTATATACGTATTTTAGAACTTTGGATGTTGGACCCAATATATGATGTATCCTTAAAAAATAGATTTAAATGAGTACTTTATAATATGTTTTCTAGTGCAAAACTCTGTTCACTTTCACCCCAAGAAAATTAAATTTTTAAAGGAATTATTGGGTCAGGATTTCCTGTTAGAAACCACCATGAATGTAATAGCTTTTATAATTAATTGTTTTCCAAAAGATAATAGAGAATAAAAAGCCAGTTATTCTCCCCCAACTCCTTTTTTCTTTCTTTTTGATAATGATTGAATCATCTAACTAAAGAAACCCATGCCCTGACTCTTTCTGAGTTCAAATTTTCCTTTTATATTGTAAAGAATCTATACAAATCCGACTTCACCAACTGGATGAAAGGGATTGGCTGGGTCCCAATAGATTCCCTAGAAGTGGAGAAGGCAAAGAAAGCAGGAGAGATTCTTAGCGAGAGGAAGTATCGCCAGCACCCCGAGAAGCTGAAGTTCACGTACTCCATGGACACAATGGAACAAGAACTTAACAAGAGTAACAAACTGACTATGGATAAGGTAAGAACTCACCTGCTGGCCTCAGCCCCAGAACCCTCATAGTGCTCATGCCCTTGAGCCTGGCGCTGCCACTATGACCTCTGTCGGCATTTTAATCTTTCTGATGGTCCTGGTGGTGGTGGTGGTAGGAGGGGCATTCTGTATCTTTTGTCATGTCTAGAGATTCTCAGTTATATTGACCCTCGGGCTGTCAACACCAAGCTGAGGGTGGGACAAAAACTACAAAACCTACATCATGTGGGGTTGAGGCAAGATGGTATTTGTTGTTTCAGTGGAAAAGGATTCCCTTGTGTGATCATTTTTGTCCTCAGCGTGTGCCTAGTCTCATCAGCCCCTCCTGCTATTTCACCCATTTTCCAACATCAGAGTTAAGCTCTTCCCCGTGGAGCTGTGAGTCTCTTCCCTTTGCTAGCACTCCCACACACTGGTCCTGCTGTGCAGTCACGTGCCTGCCCTTCTTGTTGTAGAGGCGCTACATTGAGAAATGGAACAAAGACAAGACCACCATTCACATCATGCCCGATACGCCAGACATTCTACTCTCCAAAATGAACCAAATCACCATGAGTGATGTAAGTAGATGAACAACAAAAGTAGGGGAGGTGAAGTGAACTAACGCTTATGGAATGTCTGTCTTTTACGTGCCAGAAATCAGGATCCTCGTCCTAACCCAAATGAAAAGATGCTGACGTTTTTCTTTTCTTTTTTTCTATTTGATCACTTAGAAACTGTACAAAGCTGGTTGGGAAGAAGAAAAGAAGAAAGGATATGACTTGAGGCCGGATGCCATCTCAATAAAGGCTGCAAGGGCCTCTAGAGACATTGCCAGTGATGTAAGTGCTTCCGCTGGGCTTTCCTTAGGCCGAGCGGAGTTTGTGTGTTTTCAGGAGCTGCAGTCAGCTCTACGCAGGGTTGGTGGGACCATCGTCCCGTGTAACACACAAGCCACATCCCTTCATTCAGTTCAAGGACCCTCTAATCATTTGTCCATTATTTAATGTAAAAAGTGACTGGGTCTTGTTAAAATAAGTTGCTTTTATAGTATTCTAATCATTTATAGGCAATTCTAAACAAATATAGAGATGCAGCTATAGATTTTACCTTGGAGACCCCTGACCAGGCTTTTCCTGAATTTAAAGATGCAGCATGAAACACTGTGTCTGCAGCCTTTTCTGCTGGTCAGACAGCTGAGTGGGAAGAGCTGCTTTCTACAGCACCCTGGACAGCTGATGTCCACATTGCTTTCGTTAATTCTGAGATCACTTTCTTTCCATGGACCTACGTCTGGCACAGAATTTGAAATAAAAAGATTTTGCTCCCTGCCCCCTATGAGCTCTTTTCTTTCTAGTTTTAGGGTAGTTCTAAGACTCTAAACCTATGACAAAGCTGAAGGCATCTAGTTTATTATATTCTCGTTCCTCCACTATCTTCATCACCATGTTTGTTTTTTCTGTCTACAGTTCAAATACAAGCAAGCCTATGAACAAGGCAAAGGGAAGCACATTGGCTTCCGGAGCCTGGAGGACGACCCCAAGTTGGTGCACTTCATGCAGGTGGCCAAGATGCAGTCAGACCGGGAGTACAGGAAGGGCTATGAGAAATCCAAGACATCCTTCCACACGCCAGTGGACATGTTCAGTGTGGTGGCGGCCAAGAAGTCTCAGGAAGTGGCCAGCAACACCAACTACAGGAATGTGATCCACACCTACAACATGCTTCCTGATGCCATGAACTTCGAATTGGCCAAAAACATGATGCAGATTCAAAGTGATGTATGTGACAGCCGTGCCATTTGCAGAGCGTTTACTCTGGAAAATAAGCAAATCAGTAATGACCATAAGTAGTGACATTTTGAAAATCCTGAAAGAAATTCATGAGTAATTTCCCAATAAGGTGTTTCATTTTTTACCTTAGGTTAAATTTACTTATTTATTTTTAACGAAAAGGGATCATTTCTAGAAACGAAAGTCTTATTTTCTACCATTATTGCTGTGAGCCTTGTTGGGTGCTGGATTCGGCAATAGCAAATGAAATTTGGTTTCAGAAAGAATGTGTTGAAAGAAGTATGTCTAACAAAGAGAGTCAGAGGCATGGAAGGCTCCTGATAGAGGAGCACGAGGGAAAGCAGGACCTCAGATGATGTGATAGCTCTTGCCTCTCGCTCCCAACCAGCATTCATTTCACTATGTCCCGCTTTTGAGGAGGCGATGGCTGAGGCAGCTTATTAGAATGAGTGTGAGGAAGGCACAGACAGTAGAGAGCCAAGAATTCAGCTATAGAGGACATCTGGTGGCTGGAGAAAGTGAATTTAAATTATAAACCAAAGGCAGGCCCCAAACCTGTATTTCCCTTTGGAAATGTAAAAACTGAGCTATTATCTCATATGTATAATTTTATATATGTATATGTAATATAACCAATAGATGTAAAAAATATATATGTAATATATGTTATTACATAAATATATTACATATAAATATATTACATATATGAGGAGTACATAAGTGCCCAAATGAAAGCAGCCAAGTACACAAGTGTAGAAGAAAATGTCAGAGTTGAAGGGAGAAAAATGAAATTTGTGCAAAGTACCAGTGAGGTTTCCAATATACCTGAGGGAATTGTAACAGTGGTGACTGATCAAAGACTTATAGCAAAAGAGAGAAATGGGGTCCATAAGTCATCTTAAGGGAACTTAAGAATTTTTGTAAGAAAGTTGGGCCAGCATAGTCACGGTTCTTGAGATAATAGTATCGTGGTAAATTAATATACTTGGTATTTTTTAGCACTTTTTCTTCAGGAAGGCATTTAGAAACACAAGTCACAAAAATATTACTGCTTGTTTTTAATTTCTCATGCAAGAAAATGTATAAAAGATGAAGTTTAGGGATAAAAATAGTCGAAGGTCAATATACTTATGGAATATCAAATACCCACATGTGTTTCTTGGAAGTTTTGGTTTCTTCTCCTTCTGGAACTTTTCCTCTTTTGCAGAATCAATACAAAGCCGACTTTGATGACTTCATGAAAGGCGTTGGATGGCTCCCTCTGGGCTCCCTGGAGGCTGAGAAAAACAAGAAAGCCATGGAGATTATCAGTGAAAAGAAGTACCGCCAACACCCAGACACTTTGAAGTATTCCACCTTGATGGACTCAATGAACATGGTTTTGGCTCAGAATAATGCCAAAATTATGAATGAGGTAAATCTTTCAATAATGTAGTGTTTCATCTGTATCAGGAAGAAGCCAGGCATATCTTATATTTAATCTTCAGATTTTCCTGACAGTTTTAGGGCATCATAATTAATGTTTACTTTACCTTGAAAGAGAACCTTGTAATTTAAAAAAAAAATTAGTCTTAATAAGTGCACCCACCCAAATGTTCAATGAGCCTCTCTACTCCATAATGCAAATCTTGAAAAGGGTTCCCTCTAAGGTGAGTTTGAGTAGAAGTTCACGAGTTTGAATCAGAAGACTGCCTGATAACAGTTGGGTTTTTTGCACCCTAGCCTGCTTCCTAGCTGGTTGGTGGGATCAGAGCAGACTCCTAGATCACGTGGCTATAGCAGCATTCTGAGCCAGGGCCTTCTCTGGGCAATCATGAGAGCAATTTTTCTCCACCAGTAGTTCCTTGGATTACTAATAATTCCAGCCTTTAGAAAAGCCTTAGTGTATTTCTTAGTTGTAAGTTGATATCAGGACGAACAAGTCATCAACCTTGGACATCTGTTTTTAAGTTACAAGTAATAATACAGTTGCAGAGCATTGGCTATATTATGTGGATCACAATTTGCAATGCTGTTGATCAGAAAAAGGGAGAGCCCGACCGGCGTGGCTTAGTGGTTGAGCATCGACCTAGGAACCAGGAGGTCACGGTTTGATTCCTGGTCAGGGCACATGCCTGGGTTGCAGGCTTGATCCCTAGCAGGGAGCATGCAGGAGGCAGCCAATCAATGATTCTCTCTCATCATTGATGTTTCTATCTCTCTCTCTCCCTTTCCCTTCCTTTCTGAAAGCAATAAAAATATATTTTAAAAAATTTAAAAAGGGGGGAAATTATTTGGACTGTAACATTAAACAGTTGCAGAAAATGATGGTCCTAAAGATAGAGCTGTATTATGCTGTCTCTGAGTAAATCCCCTGGAGTCTTCTGAGAAAACAGATTTGTCAAAAAGACCAACATCCTTGAAAGGAACTTGCCTAAAAGACAAGGCATGACTTGCAATGCCCTTTTTAACATTTAGAATTTAAACTATCACAAGCATACATTTATTTTTAAAATATTAAAACTTTCATTTTT